ACGAACATAGCGAATTTTCAAACATTGTGTTCTCGCCCTTAAAAATCAAATTGCTCCACATTGAGAAACACTGATCTAACCGATTACTTCAGTGTTGAAGATTTAAGAATGCAACCCACATTTTAAGTAATGAGTACCCTTATTAGTCGAGTTTAAGGATTCTTGATTAGTATCTCTACGGATCGATCAGAATTGGTCAACAGAGTGTTGTATATAAAGCATTTGGATCACTATTAACAAAGTACAAAAACATATTTTGTCTATATATACATAGTTTAGTACAATGTTAGGTCTTACTTTTGATTATGGCGGTACTTTTAACTCCCATTCACCGAAACAGTATTTTGTAGGGTTCGACATAGTACTATTTGGCAGTATAAAAAGTTTTTCAAATTGAATGCTAACAGTTCAGAAGTGCAGACAGCAACACTATATCATAATTTTACAAAATTTTTAAGTGTTTCAATATATAAATTTGAAAATGGTACTATCTTAAAATCTAATAACTCAACAAGTTATTGATTAGCGGTACTGTTGGATGATGTATTGAAAGTTGATAGTTGAAAGTTGATACTAAAAAGTATCTTATGATATGTAATAATTGTTTTTTCGTTTTCTCTAATATGTATTAAGTAGTTTTTTTTATTTTTATATTTATTATTTTCATTTAATTATAAAGATATATATATGATCAACCACTAATTCTACATTTTGATTTTATTTTTAGCGTGCATGGTAAAGAGCATCTCCGAGATAACTGAATTGTATGTACTATCTTGTTATAAACACAACACCAAACCACTTCCTGTAATATTGGAACATTTGAAAGGTGTGGAGACCAATAAGCAACTAAGGCAAGGTCAGCTATCTTTAAAGTCAATTCAATTATCACCAAGCGATTGCGAAGCGCTGGAAGAAGTCTTCAAAAGGGTAAGTTAAGTGTTGTATACTGATTAATGGGTAATAAAATAGTTGTAATATGAAGACTTTCTTTTCACATAATAATACCTTTCTGAATTTATGAATTATCTTCCAAGCCTTTCCAAAAATTAGCAAAAATAATTTTTCGTCGTAATGTTCTAACGAAACAAAATTCAGTTTTATAGAGTAAGTCGATACAGAAAACGACATCTAATATATAATGCTTACTAAATTATTGGAAGATTCTTTTAGTTTATTATTATGTATAGGATAGAACTATTATTTATGTTGTTAAAGCCTTATGTGAACGAAATAAAAAACTGTTGGTTGGTTTTTATTTTTAATTAATTTTATGTGGTTATTATCTATATATGTATATAGATAATAACATATGCCATCGTTACGAAGTTTAATTTTTTTTTCAGGGTGAAATATAGTTAGATATGCTGTAACAATACTGAACCATTAATTGGAATTGATCCTATTTATTGCTATAAGTAATATTGAGTGCAAGATGAAACGCAGTCCAATGCAATGCAGTTGTATTGCAAGTAATACGCAGGGTTGTGGTTGAATCTTGTAAAAACTAAACATTGAACCTCTTCAATAAGATTAGTAAACCGATCTATTTGCTGTCAAAAACAGTTTTTGCAATTTAATGAAGAACCTGAGATGGCAGATGTCTTGAAACATTAAAGATTAGCGAAGAAGTTCCCCTATCTGTAAAAGCATATGACCAAATAGCAGGTTATTTAAACAGTGTGGCCAGTTTAAAAACACAGCAAGTGAATTGCAAAATAACCGATTGTATTTTTCGGTGCAAGTTTCTACTAAATGATATAGCTATTCTAAAATTTTAATGTATTTTATTTTAGGTACAGTATAAATCTATAAATTTTTCATCATGTGACTTAAGTGAAAGTGCTTTGAGTGCGTTGTTTGATATGATTGAGTATTATGAGGCTACAAATGAATTGGATATATCTTTAAATGCAAAAGGCATGACACATCGCGGTTGGGTGTCCTGTACATATATGGTGAGTCGTAGTCAGGAATTACAATCGCTTAATGCACAAGGAAACCCCATTTCAAAATCGAGTGCCGAAAATTTAGGACATGCATTGAAAACTTCTAATCTTCATACTCTGAAACTAGAACATTGTGGACTTAAGGGTGCACCGTTAACTGGGCTTTGTACGTTTTAAATGAAATATATCAGAAATCAAGTTTTATAGTTTTATTTGATAGGTTTTAAATTGCGCTGCAATCGCATTCTCAAAGAGCTTTGGATTGCTTATAATGACCTGGACTCTAAAGATGCAGAGACAATAGCAGATTTACTGAAATTAAACCATTATTTAGAATTTGTAGATATCAGTAATAATAATATAAGAGATGAAGGAATTCAATGTGTGGTGAATGCGTTGATTCTTCAGTCAAGTGAATTAGAGCGACGTTCAGTGTTACATCGTGCTGCTGCAATAGATGATGATGAGAGCTTATCACCTATAAATATTTCGCCAGCGATAGAAACAGCAGACTTAAGTATCAATTCTTTAGGTAAAACAAGAAGTGTTGATGACTTACTTCCTGCAACCAAAGCTAATACAATCAATAACGATCGTACAAACACTAATAATGAAGACTTAGATGATAATGCTTTTGAACCAATAACAAATAATACCAATGAAATACAGTGCAATGCTCCAAAAGTGGAAAATCAAACCGTTAAAAAGTTGGCAAAAACGATAGAGACACAAGAATCAGATCTGACGACTTTAACAGCTGCTTCGACAGGAATAGCAAACACTTTAAGTGTGACTCCAACAGGCATAGAAGAGAACGATCTAGATGAAGACACTGAAGATACAGTTAAATCCAGCACAATTAAAAATTCTGTACAAGCTGTAGGACAGTCAATGTTAGATAAATTACTGTCAATGAACAGTGATAGCAGTAGTGAAGAAGGTGCTTCAAATTTATCTACCGACACAGTAGCGCCATGCTATTCAGAGGATGCGAGTATTATAAGTGATGATATATTTGATGGCGCCTTAACTGCTACTACCAATACTAGCACAAATTCAAAAGCAGAATGCATAGTGGCCTCCACTCCCACATGTGTTTCTGCTATAGATGTAATAATTAGCACATCTGTTGATAAGCATGTTACACAAGACCAACTGCAGATGGAAAAAGAAAATGTGATAAGTGGTAATTTTTTTAAATTGTTATTATATTATTTCAATTATACTTATTGTAAATTTACTAAAACGTGTTTTTCTATTACAGAATATAAAAACTTTGAAGAGGCTATAAATTCTGAAAGCAATAGTAATTCTAATAATAGTAATAGCGTAACATCAACTACTATAACGTCATTAGGCAATCATAACAATAATAACAATAATGTCAATAACAACAATGATGTTAGTGATAATAATAGCAGTGATAACTATTCGATACATCATAATGATAACTCGCATCTTAATTTAAATCCGTTGAGGCACGCCACTAGTGATGATAGTACATTACAAAGTTCAGGAATATTTGAAGTAACTGCAGATGAAAGTGATTGTCTAATTTCCAATGCAGTAAGTGACCGTGAAAGTGATAGTTCCCATTCCCTCCTACTGCACCATTCAGCCAAAGTACTTGATGTAAATAAAAACACAAAGTTATCAGAAGATTATGATGACACGCACAGCACAGATTCAGCATTTGAAAGTGCCTCCGAATGTGATATTAGTCGAAACTTACCTGAAGAATTTAGTAGGCTTTCAGTTTCACTGGAAAGTACAAGGCTAGATGATATAGTTAAAGAACTTGCCATTGAAACTGCAACTATTGCCACTGAATCCACTGAGTGTTTAATTGAAGCAGCAGCAGTAGCAGCAGCAGCAGTTCCGTCTAGTTCAGCTCTAACTCCACCCACCCCACCGCTAACACAATTATACTCACATGTAAAAACACCAGAAAAAGAAAAAAGTGCTGAAGTTTCCGATGATTGTTTTTATACTAATTTTGTTCAAACTCCAACTACTAAACAGGCAATCCCACAGATAGAAACATTAAATACTGAAAATAATGATAGGGTTAATACAACCGTAACAGTAGATGATTTCGGTAAAGCCGAAAGCTGTTTTCATGTAGATAATCTTGAAACTGCTACATTAATACAACCGAAAGTAACTATTGCTGAAGACAGCATAATTATTAAACACAAGGAGTGTGCTAATAGCCCTAGACCAACGCCGCCACCACCTTCTACCTCACCAGGTGGCGTAAGTTTAGGCATGCGCCGCACAGAATCATCTTCTGCTTTTATAACACAGTCAACTCGCAATCGATCTCAAAGCAGTGATAGTCTCTGCAGTGATAATTCTTTAGATAGTAGTATCAGTAGTGACCTTAATTTTTCTACATCAATACATATAAATGAGAAACTAACCAAAAACGATACCCTTACACGGCAACAACGTCAAACAGATACTACGATCGACGTTTCAAATAGAGCACCTAATGGCCTTAAAGCCCTCGCCGTTTGGAATAATAATCTTACAAAAGAGTCTGGACGTTATATATCCGAATTGATGTCTAAAACTGAATCATTAGAATTGTTAAACATTGGTAAAAATTGTTTATCAAATGAATTCGTAACACTCATTAAGGATAGTTTAACCAAAAATACAACAATAACGACACTGGGACTACAAAGTGCTCATTTAAGTGCTAAAGGTATTGAAACATTGGCCTCAATACTTACCTTTGGCGGCAATAATACGCTGCAACGCATAGACATTCGTGATAATAAACTCGAAGCTGAAAGTTTGGAGACCCTGGCTGAAGTACTTAAGTCAAATACAACAGTTACACAGATTGATATTGATGATGAGCCGAAACGCTTATCGGTAAGTTAATAAAGAATCTAAAATGCATATATTAATTTATTGATTTCTTAATTAAGTTATGAGTGCTTTTATTTTTTTAAAGTTGATATAAAGTTAAGTAACATGAAATTTTGATGACTTTTTGAAAGTTAATAACATGACTTATAATATTGCTAAATAATGTTTTTATTTATAATAATTGTTGATGTATAAAATTGTGATTGGTAGATTTAAATAGTAAGCTTCATTAGATGACTATAATACCTTTATAAGTCCCTAATTAAAAGTTGTATTTTTATTAATAGTTATATTTTTATTAATATTCATATTTTTATTAATAGCCATATTTTTATTAATAGTCATATTTTTATTAGTACTTGTATTTTTATTCATTAAATGTCACGTACTTAAATCTATTAGTTATTTGTAGAAAAGTAATATTGGATATAATGTTTAATTATTATTCTTGTTAAAGCAATATGTATTGTTTTTATAAAAATCTGTGATGTACTATATTCTGTGCAGAATTAAACTAGAGGTTGGATAATTCGTTCTGGATACTTAGTAATTGCTTATAAAGATTATATAGAAATTATAAATTTAAATGTAGGGTTCTCTGGACGTTTCACTGAACCTAAAATAGAAGATTTTTTAATCTGTTAAATATCAAAATGAAAAAAATATATTGGCTTCTTCCACACAAACCTCTGTTCATTTTGCAAAAGAAACTTAGACTCAATAAAATTATTTTAAAGTCACTTTGGACTCTGTTTCATCGAAGGTCTAAAAATTTTAAAATAGAAATCTTACACATTTTTTTTAACGATTCTTGGTTTATCTCCAATTAATCAATATGCAGTAACGTTTGAATCTTAAACATTAAGTCCCACTTTAACAGACTCAATAAAATAGGTCTCAGTAAACAGGTTACAGCAATATGATTACTAGACAGTTTCAATAAAACTGGAACACTACATAGGCATAATGTGCAGAAGATAATTATTAATTGTTCTACATTTAATATTCTTTATACGTTGAATAATATCATACGTATAATATCGATATTATATTATTCAGCAACACTGATATTTTACGTAATGTAAGAAGTTGTTTGCTATAAAAGTTTTTTTGATAGGCTATTAGGTTAATTTTAGTTTTATTTAAAACAAAACACGTTGATTCTATTTAGTCAGTAGTATTTTTCAGGCAGAAGTGACTGCTATAAAGTAAGCTTTAGCTATGTCTAGAAGTAAGTAGATAAGTAGAAGTAGATAGAAGTAGATAGTTTGAAAGATATACTTGAAAGGAATATACATATACTATCGGATAGTCAAGCTGCTTTAAAGTCCTTGAGTTCAGTCCAATTTACATCTAGGACAGTCGTTTACTGCTACATGTATGTAAATGAGATGTCGACGCAGTTCAATATTTCTCTAATCTGGGTTCCCGGTCATAGGGATATTTTCGACAATTGCAAAGCTGACGAGCTGGCAAGACGGGGTGCTTCAGGAAACCACTCGGAACACCTAAACACAAACTCTCTCATAGAGATGCCCTATTGAGACATCAGTCTTGTAGTAGGTTTACTTACAATTCATTTTATTCTAGGTAACCATGCTAGACTAAATCTCCTTTTCAAGCATATCTACCGCAGTTGTGGTGAGGATGATGAAAGCGCCTTCCACCTGTTTTGCTTCTGTCCGGCACACATACGGCGCTGCCTTAACATTTTAGGGGCTTTCTTTTTTTAAGATCTTGGCGAACTTTAGGATCTCCCTTTAAAGAGCATCATAAGCTTTGCCCAAGGTTCTAGATGGTTTTAATTCTTGGGTTTTTAATAATATGGTAGCACAATGGACTTATAGCCATAAGTGGATCCCCTAGGAGCGCCGGTATAACCTAACCTAACGTATTTAGTCATAAATTTTATTTAAATTAATTAGCAAGTGGAATCTTTTGACCATTTTCAATGAGCATATTCAGGAACTGTTTATTTTTTGTATAGATTGAAAAAACAGTAAAAGAATTAAAAAAAAGAAATTATATGATTATCAAATTTGTTGTTGCCACAATAATATGGGCTTTATTTACAGAATAATTTCTGTACCAACGAATATTTATAAATGACAAAATATGAATTTTATTTAATTTACAAGTTGTTAATATACGAAATACAATTAAAAGAGTTTAGAAAAAAATTTAGGTTAATCTTGACTTTTGGTTGGGATCAGAGAACTGCGATTAGTACTCAACATTCGAATCATACTCGAAACATTGGGTGTGTTTAAAATATACTTATTCTGACTCCTTTCTGACTCGCTTTTTGTGAACTTTGGCGTGTACTGTTATGCCATGTCTAGAACCAGCAACATACCCGGGTAACGATGAAGGTCACAATTTCGAACATACAATGGTGTATTTAGTACACATCGCTATACTTTATTTTGGAAAAGTTGAATTGTGGCAATGCAAATTTTTGCTGGGACATTTCCACAGTTGTATATCATACGTCCATATTGGTTTTAGGGTTTATTTATATAGTTATAATTTACTGTGAATTGACAGTTTGGATTTACGGCCGCCAATAAGATAAATTATCTTGTTTTATTTTAAGTTGTGTTATTCTATTTTTTTCTTAACGTGCGCTTTCCAACGCAGTTTTGCATCCAGTGTAATAACCAAGGTATTTTGCTTCATTACCATTTGGATATTTTAGTGGAATTTATATATACTGGAGTAAAAGATATATTTTTTAGTCCGAAAACCACATGCACTGATTTGGTGTTGTTAGGCTTTATACGCCACTTAGTGGGTCATGCTACTACAGAACTTACAGCGGATTGTAATTTAGCAGTATTTTAAAGATATTGATTCTTGAATAAAGTATTAGTGTTGCTGTTAAGCTAGACTTACTTTGTATAGGGACAAAGAAGCTTTATTAAATTTTAGAGGAGTTTTTCGAATAGCAAAGAAAGAAATAAAGTACAAACACAAAAATTTATTTTTTAATTTTATTGAAGTTCGGCTGACCATACAACGCTGTTTCGAGTATTGCCAAGTACTCTTCATCAGTGGTCTTTGGAAATAATCGAATTTTATTTAATTAGTTTATAGTCCGTATATAATTTGTTTGGACTGCAAGTGCCAGGCTTAGAACTCGTGCCTGTCAAATTAGAAGCGATGACTAATCGTGTTTATCCAAAAGAAGCCAACGCTGCACAAACTTTCAATGCTCAAGTTCCAGGTTTTATTGTCACTTATTTATATTTAATTAGTGACAACAACCAAAGCACTTGCCGTGCTTTAAATTAGAACGAGCTTATAAACTACAGCTTTATTTGGAAACACAAGTTCAACGAATTAAAAGTTAACCTTTGAGCTTGCCTATTTTTGTTTCAAAGCTACTCTTTTTGTAGAGACATCTGTAATGCACATTGTTTTACTTACTACATGTAAAGCGACCATTCTGGTGCTTTTTACAAAGAAGCTATGCTATGGATTCTTACGTTTGTCTTGAAATATATATTAACGATGGCCGCTGCACGCCCTACCTACTTTGTGAAGGACTTAACATACTGTCGAGTCGATGTGAATAACATCTATGAGAAGCTTTTAGGCTGCATCTTCTGCCATAAATAATTCAGATTAAAGCTTCTAATCTAATTCCATTAAAGCATCTCCAATATATTTAAAGCAACTTTTTCAAAGTTGAACGAAAAATATAAATATTTTAAGTATCACAGATATAAGAAATAATGACTCGTGACTCGTTTTGTGTTCAGATGTCAGTACTCATTTATGATATAGCACTTTAGGTAGTCTTCGTTATTTTTTCATGACATAAAAGCATATGTTATTACGTTTAGTTAGATAAAGCATTACAATAGATTTTTAAAAAAAAAAGAAAACCTATGTAAAGAAAGACAACATCCCAGAGGATGGCTGCTAAAATAATTTCATAAATGCTATTCTCATAATTTAAGTGTATTAACAAAATAAAAATCTTTATGTCTTTTACGGAT